ACATATTATAGTCTGCATTTCATTTACAGTGCAGGAACTGATACTTAAAAAATATAAAAATAAAATAAAACATCTTTTTTTTTTTTTTATGTAAAAAATAAAATAAAAAAAGATATTAATATTATAATAATGTGCATAATTAATAAAAAAAAAAGAAGAAGTGCACGCTATTCTGATATTAAGATATCAAAAATAACAACAAATATAATTTTTGCGTTCTCATTGTAAAAACAAAACTTTGCTAGATTCACAATTTTAATCATGGCGAGATCAGTGTTGGGGAAAGTTACATTTAAAAGTAATGCATTACAATATTGCGTTACTACTTTAAAAAGTAACTAATTATGTTACTTTTTATAGAAAGTAATGTGTTAGTGAAAGTATGCTTGAATTGGCTCATTGAAGATCAGCAGCAAAGACTAATAAAGTGGCATTAAATACATAAAGGATATATGTTACTTAACATTTAACTATTGCATGTTTACACAGCGCACACAAAGCCTCTCCCAATTTCTCTCAACATGTGGACAGGAGAGCGGTCAGTCAATAAATGAGAAAGAAAGTAACTGGTGTTATTCATTTGAAAAGTAACTCAGATATGTGCTTGTGATATGTGTCGGGTCCCCGCTACAATAACAGCAACACTTACAAATGTTTACAGAACAAGCGGGAACCCAGTGTGCCTGTAGCTTTCTCTATTTCTGTTTTATCACGTGATAGAAAGTCTAAGGCCTTCTCAAGCCGTACGGCTGACTTATCTAATCTGCGGCCTGTTATGCATCAAACTAATATTGCTGTAGAGACAAAGTCACAAGCCATCAAGTTAGCATTTTTAAACATTCGCTCACTAAAAAATAAATCATTTCTAATCAATGACTTAATAACCACAAACAACCTGGATTTTATGTTTCTAAATGAAACATGGCTAGAAGACAGCTGCAGTGCAACGGTCCTCAATGAAACAGCCCCTCCTAACTTCACTTTCATGAGTGTTTGCAGGACTGTTAGGAGAGGTGGAGGTGTAGCTGCTCTATTTAAAGATGTCTATCAATGCAAGCAAGTGTCATTTGATCAGTACTTGTCTTTTGAATATCTAGGGATTGTGCTGAAAGGTGCTCCACGCATTCTGTTTATCATTATTTACAGGCCTCCAAAATACTCTCCAGCCTTTGTTGAAGAGTTCACAGAAATGCTATCAATGATTTCCTCAGAGTTTGACTGTTTTGCTATTGCAGGGGATTTTAATATTCACATAGATAATGCAGAAAACAAAACTACAAAAGAAATGATAACTGTTTTAAATACTTTTGACCTGATTCAGCATGTGCATGAACCCACACAAAATCGGGGACATACTCTAGATTTACTCATCAGTAGAGGTCTAAACATTTCATCCATTGTTATTAAGGACGTAGCACTATCTGATCACTTCTGTATTTTCTTTGATATATTGATCTCTGTTACCACTGAATCTAGATCGGTCTCAGTCAGAAAGAGATGCATTAACGAAAACACTAGTGTGCTATTTATGGAGGCTATATCTTTAACACCAAGCATTTCTGCAGACTCTGTTGATCTCCTTGATTCCTTTAACTCAAAAGTTAAGAATGTTATTGATGACATTGCTCCTTTGAAAGTCAGCAGGAAGACTGGCAGACAGAAATCAGCTTGGAGAAAATCAACAGCAGTTCAGAGTATGAAAAGACAATGCAGAAAAGCGGATGTGAGCGGATGTGGCGGAAGACGAAACTTGAAATACACTATAGCATATATAAAGACAGCCTTCGTACTTTCAATGTGGAACTAGGCAAAGCTAGACAGTCATTCTTCTCAAACCTTATTTTTCTATTTCTGTTTTATCACGTGATAGAAAGTCTAAGGCCTTCTTAAGCCGTACGGCTGACTTATCTAATCTGCGGCCTGTTATGCATCAAACAAATATTGCTGTTGAGACTAAATGCAATGCCATCAAGTTAGCATTTTTAAACATTCGCTCACTAAAAAATAAATCATTTCTAATCAATGACTTAATAACCACAAACAACCTGGATTTTATGTTTCTAAATGAAACATGGCTAGAAGACAGCTGCAGTGCAACGGTCCTCAATGAAACAGCCCCTCCTAACTTCACTTTCATGAGTGTTTGCAGGACTGTTAGGAGAGGTGGAGGTGTAGCTGCTCTATTTAAAGATGTCTATCAATGCAAGCAAGTGTCATTTGGTCAGTACTTGTCTTTTGAATATCTAGGGATTGTGTTGAAAGCTGCTCCACGCATTCTGTTCATCATTATTTACAGGCCTCCAAAATACTCTCCAGCCTTTGTTGAAGAGTTCACAGAAATACTATCAATGATTTCCTCAGAGTTTGACTGTTTTGCTATTGCAGGGGATTTTAATATTCACATAGATAATGCCGAAATCAAAACTACAAAAGTAATTATATCTTTTATGTAAAGCACTTTGAATTACCATTGTGTATGAAGTATATAAATAAACCTGCCTTGCCTAAATTAAAAAGTAATGTGACGTGACATGTGGCCAAGTATGGTGACCCATACTAGGAATTAGTGCTCTGCATTTATCCCATCCAAAGTGCACACACACAGCAGTGAACACACACACACACACACACGGAGCAGTGGGCAGCCATTTATTCTGCGGCGCCCGGTCTTGCTCAAGGGCACCTCAGTCGTGGTATTGAAGGTGGAAGAGAGTGCTGTACATTCACTCCCCCCACCTACAATCCCTGCCGGTACGAGACTCGAACCCACAACCTTTGGGTTATGAGTACGACTCTCTGACCATTAGGCCATGACTTCCCCGTTGTGGTAATGTGTTACTTTACTAGTTACTTGAAAAAGTCATCTGTATCTGGATTGAGTATCTGGCGTTAGCCCCGACACTGATCACAGTTTGTGAAAAGCATCCCTTCAACAGCATCAGCGTTTGTGGGCTGATCTGAAACAATACAACGAACACTAACGTGATTATATGACATTTTCAGGTCATGATCCTTATCACTGGCTCACATAAAGCGTTTGCGCTCTATAAAGCCATAGAAGAGGGAGTGAATCACATGTGGACGGTGTCAGCGTTCCAGCAGCACCCGCAGGCTGTGTTTGTGTGCGATGAAGACGCCACACAGGAGCTGCGGGTCAAAACGGTCAAGTATTTCAAAGGTAACACTGACTTAACAACTAGTTGATCTCTCTCTCTCTCTCTCTCTCTCTCTCTCTCTCTCTCCTGAGGGAATGAAGTGAATACAGGGATATTGTGCATGTAAGAAAATTGTTAATGTTTTTTTTCTTCAGGCATTATGGATGTGCACAACAAGATGGTGGAAGAGCCGTAGACTGATATTGATAAGAAGAATAGACACACAACAGATTTGTGGTCGTGTATTTACCCAAATTGCACTGTTTTTATTTTATTAAACCTCTCAATACCTGATGTATTGAATTCAAATGTGTTTATATAATAATCGACTTGGAATCCTGATTCTTTAAATGTGACCAAATAAATAACAAATTGATGAATAAATAGACTTAGTACTCTAAATATTAATCTTTGGATTGATGATATGGTATTTCAGTATTTATATGCTGTTATAATATTTATTATAATAGTTTTATTTTATTTTTAACATATAGGTATATACAGTGTTGGGGGTAATATATTACAAGTAACGCGAGTTACATAATCAGATTACTTTTTTCAAGTAACTAGTAAAGTAACGCATTACTTTTTAATTTACAAGAGAATATCTGTATATTCTATATTATACTTTTTCGGATAAGTAACGCAAGTTACTTTTTTTTCTCCAATTGTTGAGATTATGTTGAGAGAAATCAGATGTTACTGTAGTTCTAAAATAAATATGAATATGCATTAATTCATCTCACTCACAAAAAAAAAACAGATTCAGTATTCCTCAAAAATGAATAAAAATAATGCAACTCAGAATATGA